TTTGTTTTCTTAACACTGTCTTTTTTTTTTTTTTTCAGATTTTATTTATTTATTTGACAGAGAGAGAGGCAGTGAGAGAGGGAACACAAGCAGGGGGAGTGGGAAAGGGAGAAGCAGGCTTCCTGCAGAGCAGGGAGCCCGATGCGGGGCTCGATTCCACGACCATGGGATCATGACCTGAGCCGAAGGCAGACACTTAACAACTGAGCCACCCAGGCGCTCCTTAACACTGTCTTTTGAAGAGTAAAAATTTTGAATTTAATAAACTCCAGTATATCAATTTTTTCTTTATATTTCATACTTCTATATATTTTTAGTTTATTTTTTTAATTAACATATAATGTATCATTGGTTTCAGAGGTAGAGGTCAGTGATTCATCAGTCTTATATAACACCCAGTGCTCATTACATTACATGCCCTCTTTAATGTCCATCACCGTTACCCCATCCCTCCACCTCCGTCCCCTCCAGCAACCCTCAGTTTGTTTCCTATGATTAAGAGTCTCTTAGGGTTCTATATTTTTTCAAGAAACCATTGGCTAGTCCAAGATTGCAAAATTGCTATATGTTTATTCTATAAGTTTTATTGTTTTAGTTTTTCCATTTTGAGGTAATTTTTTAGTATAGTGTGAAGTAAAGGTTATTTCTATTTTGATGGACTGTGTTGCTTCTGTTTTCTTAGTTTGTCTCTGAAGTTTGGTGATGCTGAAATTCCCAAAGGTCTTGATATAAGGTAGGTATGGATATTACTTTGGAGTGTTACAGGTTCAGCACTTCATATTGGCTCCATATAATTTACTCACTCAACATGTAGTATCAAGGACCCACTATGTGCCAAGCACTGTGACATGTGAAATGCCACATATAACTAACTATGCAAAGTTAGCAATATTATGGTGGGATCCTATAGTAATGATTTCTTTAGTTTCTACCAAAGCATCTGTATAGATTTTCCTTCTTCAGTTAGGACTTAGAAATTACATGAACCTGAAAATGTGATACTCTTTTCCTGTGAGCAAAAAATATATGTAAAGCTCCAAAGCTGAAGCTCTGGTTTGAAGTTATTTTCTATATCGTGCCTTTCAGTGAATCACACTTATCACTTTATAATAACAAAAAAACTCTCTGTTAGCTGAATTTCCCAGTAGATAACCCAGGCCTACATTTTGCTGTGTTAATGTGTGGAAGAATGCATCTGCCAACAGTGGTTTATTCAAGTAGTTAGGAACTGCTCCAGGAGTGGGGACAATGTCAAAGCATTATATTTTTTTTCTTATGAAAATAAAATGTTTCTGTTCCTATAAGACCAACCTTTTAGAGGGGATAAACAGCTGTGTCTTTAACATTACTTGAAAAAACCAGTAGGATATGCTAGGACAGTCTTTCCTAAGCTGTGTTCTATGGAACACTTCTGCTATGTAAAAATATTTATAAGATTCCCCAGGAAAGGGGTTCTGTGGTCAAATGTGTTTGAGAAAGACTGCACACCGTGTCCTCCTCTTGGAGATTCACAGTATAAATTTGTATATTAAAGTGACTGTGAAGACATGCTTTTAAGGAAGATTGTAGCACTTGGTGACTTTGATTAACCTCTTTTCCTATGTTTACTTTAGAAAGCTCTTTCCTCAGAATATTTGACTACATATCATGGAACCACTAGTGTTTCACTGGTCATAATTTAGAAAATACATGTCATCATCTTTTAGATAAACTTTATAAGGAAAATAGAATCCCACAAGGTGAACAAGCGTACAAACACGAATATACATATCTGTTTGATAGGAGTAGTTTTTATTCAAATAGCACTTTTTTTCCCCAAAAGGAAAATAGCTTTATGATTATTATTTTTTTCTTTCGACAAAGGAATGCGGCAGACACTGTCAGTACCCCATCTATGTCACTTTGGGCTTTTTCCATTTGAGAGCACTATACCAGCTCAACTTTGAACTGTCCGCCTTTCTTTGCCTAAAAGCTTCCTTTAGCCAAAGGGGTCCACTGCCTTCCATCCCTACACAAGCAACTCTCAACCAATGACTGAAAGAAGTGTATAAATACCCCAGCTCCCTCACCCTCAGCCTCAGGTCAGATAACAAGCATGTGAACTACCCTCATTCCCAGTGGACCCCATGAGCATCAAACTGCACTTGCCCACAGTGGAAACTTGCTTAATAATGTGTCCTTTTGGGGTGTCTTCCATGCTTCTGTCATTTTTCTTTTCTCCATTTGACATATTTTGAATTCCCAAATAAATTTGGGACTACCTCCCCAAATACTTCTTCTCTTCACATCATTGTCTCAGGGTCTGCTTCTCCAGGAGTCCAATACATGACAAGAAAACAAACAAAATCAGGAAATATTTATCTATAAAAAGAACTTGAAAATCATTCATAATTTAATCACCATTTGTAATCATTATTAACATTTGATCTCTGTCCTTCCAGAATTTTTTTTCTA